CCACAAGTCATCTATGTACGGCTTGCACTTTTTGAAGTATGCATGACCTTATAACATCAAAATCTCAGTAAATATCAAAGCTTTTCCCTTGGTAATATTTTAAAGCCCTGTATTCCCCTGGGGCAAAACTAGGAGATTAAAAATTGCAATATATACTTGTAGGATCAAGAGCAGGAAATTGAGAAACCAGGCAGAGAAGCCAGTCCTCCTCTCAGATCCAGTGTATCTTGGGAAACTTCTCCATAAGTCGACTGCCTGAGAGCTAGTTATGTACATTCTTATATTTTGATCTACTCAGAAATAGACTTCAAAATTTATTAATATGTATTAATTGTACATATTAATAGACTCAATGTGGTATATTCAACATGCACTGATCAACTCCAACCACACTTTTTTCATCCCCATCCCCATATATCTGTCTCAGTTTCTAGTAATCAGTATTCAAGTTTTAGGCAGTGCACTGTTTATATGTATGCACAACACAAGAACCTTGCTTCAATTAAAATATTATTCCAATACAATACCCTTTCGATAGACTGAATGTTGGTGTCTCCCCTAATTTTATATGTTGGAACCTAATACTCAATGTGATATTAACAGGTGGGGCCTTTGGAAATTGATTAAACCATGAAAGCCTTATCTTCACGAATGTGACTAGTGCCCTATATAAAGGAGATTGAAATGAGCTCTTTCACCCCTCTGCTATGTGAGGACACCCAGAAGTTGCGATCTATAAAACATAGGTTCTCACCGGATACCAAATCTGCTGGCTACTTGACCTTGGATTTCAGAGGCTCCAGAAAATGTAAGTAATATGTTTCTGTTGTTTTTAAATTACTCACTATACAGAATTTTGTTGCAGTAATCTGGACAAAGATAATTCTGAAGGAGAGCCATCATCTAGAATAAGTTTTGTTCATAGAATTGTCTTTGAGAGCAATCCTTTAATTAAACTACTCAGTATATTGTCTTCAGAGCTGTTCCTTGGGAGAACATGAGTAAGGATGGGAAGAATGTAGATTTTCTCCTGGAGCTAGTAATAGGATAAGTAGCAAATTTTTAATTAAACTTCCTGATTTTTGTAATCTACCATTCTGTATAAAAATCTTACATGTTTGTTTCAAAGACATAGGCTTTGGAGGATAGAAGACAGGGTCTAGTAATAATTAACTCCTATGTAGTGTAAATGATTATAGAGTGAAGGAATGATGAAACCCCCACAAGCTCCCCAAGAAATTACAGATCATACAATTAATATTATGTAATGGCTGACTTTGTGTTTATATTGGCTGGGAATTACTGCCTTTTTGCACTTTTTGAAGATGTCTCTAGTTAGCTAGTGGGTCTTATAAAATTTTCAAAATAAATTCTCTGTGACTTTCTTCCACTGCAGTTATATTATGTACCATTTTATTTTTCACAGAAGGTGTAGTATTGGGGAGGGTGGAGAAAGAGGATGTAACAAAATCAAATAAAAAACAGCATTTTTCAAGTCTTGAAAGTTTGACTTTTATCATATTTACTAGCTGGTTGACTCATTTGGCACCTAGTATAGTGGCTTATTATGGGCTTAGTTGTTTTATGATTATATGTTTTGTCTCCCTGGTTTTAACCATTTACTGTTAGAGAGTGGCAGCAACTACTGCCTTATTCAAAAAATGGTAAAACCACTTTGGAATATAGTGAAGTACATTCTTTAAAAGGTTAAATAATCCTAGAGAAAAAAAAGACAGTGGGCAAAAACTAAGGAAATCACACTTCTAAAAATTACTTTAGTTAATAATAATGAATCAATTCAATTCATTGGTTGTAAGAAGTGTACCATGGCAGCTTAAAATGTTAATAATAGAAGAAACTAGATGTGCATTATATAGAAATTCTCTATAATATCTTTCAATTTTCTATAAGTCAAAAATTACTCTAAAATTAAGCTCGTTTTCTTTTTTTTTAAGTAGGAAGATATTTATAGATAGAAAAGCTACCGAGGGGCAGGAGAGATCCTGAGTGGGTAGCCCAAGCTTGTTTTCTAACAATAATATTTGCTTTCTAGAAGAGTCTAAAGGTTCTCACCACATATAAATGAAACACATATAAATGAAAAAATGTTTGAGGAGATGGAAATGGTAATTACTCTGATTTAATCATTATATATTATATGTATGCATTGAATTACCATAGTGTACTCATAAATATGTGCGCATATTTTGTCAATTAAAATTTACCTTACTGAATAGCAAAAAAGTTAGTGCCAAAAGTTGCAGTAAAATTAAGTTATTTTTCAAAGATGAGCTAAAAAGTCAAATATACACATACTATATAATTCAGTCCCTCCATGTTTAGTGTTTAGTTATTTAATCAAGAATAAAAGAAATATATGTACATAGAAAGACATGTATATAAATATTCATAGCAGCTGTATTTGTAATAATCACAAACTGGACACAACTCAAATGTCCATAAACAGGTAAATGGATAACCAAATGATTGCAATACCCCTCTAACAGTACTCATCAATAAAATAGGAATCAATACGATACACATAACCAGAAAGCTAAATCTAAAAATTAAATAATTTTGTTAAGTGAAATATTCTAGACAAAAATTAGTACGGACCTCTTATATGATTCTGTTACATAAAACTGGAGAAAATGCAGATTGATTTATAATGAAAGGAAAATTAGTGTAATGGGAAGGATTTCATGGGGGCATCAACAAAGGTGAGGGTGACATTTTTATTACGGCAAAAGTTTGATATGGCTATGCATATATCATTCAGTCCATATAGATTGTGTACTTTAAATGGTTTGTCACTTGTTATATGTCAATTTTACTTCAATAAATCTGTTTATTTTTTTAAAATCCACTAAATCTTGGGCAAAAAAAAAGAAGATAGTTTAGGTTCATAGAATTATTACCCTTGATCATGAAATATAGATTTGTTTTGCTGCTGTTGTTGTTGTTATTATTGTTAGTTTGTTTTGGGGGTTTCTTTGGAGAGAAAATTCTGCTATTAGCTATGTACCAGTGTACCTATATGTTGCCTTTTTGGGGACCAGTATCTTTCAAGGAAAAAAATGAAGGTCTTTTAAGGTCTCTTAAGGTCTTTTACAGGTAGATATATTTATAATAACCCTAAACTTGTATCTTCTAAAACAATTTTAGAAGAAATTCAGTTGCATTAATTTAAAATAAATCTTAACTTGAAATTACTTTATAAAGTGTTATTAATTAGGAAACTAAAGTTCAAATGGGAATCAATATTTAAGAATTATTTATAGTATATAATTTTTCTGAAAATATATTCTGTGCCATAAAATTAGAAGTGTTTTATAAACAGCTTTTTAAAGATAAACTTCGCATACCATACAACACTTTTTTATAATTCAACACTTTTTTTGAATATTCACCAATATGTGCAACCATAACCATGGTTTATTTTACAACATTTTCATACCTCAAAAAGGAGCCCCAGACTACTTAATGGGTACAGAATTAGTCTTTGAGGTGATGAAAATGTTCTGGAATTAGACAGTGGTGGTAGACGCACAACCTTGTGAATGTAGTAAATGCCACTGAATAGTATGCTTTTAAATTAGCATTGTATGTTAAGTTATATTTTGCCACACACACATAAAATACACCCATACACTCGAGCTATCACACCCTACCACCCCATCCTTTCCCACCAGCCCTAAGCAACCAGTGACCTATTTTCCTTTATATAGATTTTCCTATTCTGAACATTTCTCATGAGTTAAATCATATAACATGTACTTTTTATACTGACTTTTTCAAATGGAATATAACTATCGCAAAGTTCATGTTGTAGTGCTTATCAAAACTTTAGACATTTCCATGGAAAATAATATCCCATTCTATGAACATATGATATTTATTTATTCATATAACAAGTAATAGATGTTTAGTTTGTTTTCATATTTTGCATATTATAACTCATACTGCTATGAGCATTCATGTACAATTTTTATGTGGATTTATGTTTTTATTTCTCTTAGTTATATATTTACCAATGCATTGATGAACCATATGTTAACTTTACACTTAACCATTTAAGAACTTGCTGGACTTATTAAAGGTGTTTGGACTGTTTTACTTTTCTATCAGTAGTGCATAAAGTTTCCAAATTCACCACACCTTCACCAACACTTGGTATAACCCCACTTTTTTTTATAGCCATCCTAGTAAGTATAAAGTGATATCATATGATTTTAATTTTGATTTCCCTGATAACCCCGATGATGTCAAACACCTACTCAATATTTGTATAGACTCTACGGGTCTATGGATTATCAAAGTTATGAACTCCTCAGTTAGAGTTACTGGGTGGGCATGTGGAGAAAGTTTGCCATGGGTATAATTATAAATTATATTTAATCATAATTAATATTAGAAAGTATACTTGCTCATTTACGCTGCTGTATATTCAGTAAGAAAATAGGAAGAAATACCTATTAACATGAATTGTACTGAAATCTTAGATTCATTTCTATTACACAATTCTTTGTGGGGAGGAATATCCCAATTTCTATGAGGAGAGCAACATATACTGCACATCACCATTTCTGGGAAATCACACAAATTGAGTGAGGTAGAAAGGATTACCTTTCCTTTTGGTACAAAGGAGAAAGTGCTAATTAGAATTTTAAAAAATCAATTGAACTGAATTGATATTGATAAACCAGGAAGGGATCTGTGTAATAGGAAAGCAAAAAGCAGACCAGAAAGATGCTGAACTGGAGGATCAGTCATTTTCAAGATAAGCAGTGGATGGTGAGAAAATTAAACACTATTCAACAAGAGTCAACAGTTATTTTGGCAGGGTATCAATTTGTTACTGCCCCATACAGCTTTAAAGTTGTAACAGATAAAGGTAATCTGCTGCCAGGGGAGTAAATATACATTTTCCCAATAGACTAAGGAGTTACCTGCTTAACTGCAAAGATAGCAAAGAAAAATAAACAAATCAAGTTCTATACCTTATTTCACCTTCTCTAATGTGACCTGCCAGTTCTTCAATAAACTTTTCCCCTTTCATCCAGTAGATCATTGGCCCCGACTCTCCACTGAATCCAAAGAATGCTTTGCAAGGGATGTTCAGAGGCTTACCTGAGAATAAGAGAAAAAAAGAATTGATCAAATGACAAGATGGAGCATTTAACATATAAAGTAAACTCAGAAATTACCCACATTTCAACTTTTTCCATTCATTTCTATGCATGAAAAATTTTTAAATAATTATGAAAACTGGAAAATTATAAAATCCAAGCTATTATAAAAATTACAAAATATAGACTGTTACTTACTTTTTAGAACTGTTTATTTTTACTGCCTCCCACCCAAGAATTAACATGAAAGAATCAGATGGAAAAAAATCTCTTATTATTTTTCTTTTTGAGAGTAGTAAGTATTGCTTACTTGGACTCACTTTTGAAGCTAACATTAATCAAAAGTATAAGTTAATTCTTGATGTATGAGCAGATATAATAGACCATCCACCATGATTAAGATTGACCAAGGAAATTTTGTTTTTAAGAATAACTGAATAATGCAAACAGTAATGGTTGAATAGAGGTGTCGACTTGAATAGATTAAGAAATATCAAGATAGCTGATGTAGTATTATTTTTAGGTACATCTGTGAGTGTTTCTTCAGAAGAAACTGAAATTTGAGGTGGTAGACTGAGTGGGCACCATCCAATCTGCTGGTGGTGAAGGGGAGAAAAAAAGATAGGAAAGAAAAATTTACAATCTCTCTGCTAAAGCTGAAGCATCCTTCTTTTCCTTTTATTGGGCTTCAGAACTCCAAGTTCTCTGGCCATTGGACTAGGGGACTTGCACCAGAAGTACCTTGGAGTTTTGAGACTTTGGATTTGTGCTAAGAGAAACATTATCAGCTTACTCAGTTTAGAGTTTTTAGGACTCAGGCTGAGCCATTCTACTTTGGTTCTCCAGCTTGCAACTGTCTATTGTGGGGTTTCTCAGCCTTCATAAACATGTGAGCTAATTCCTTTAATAAATCTTCTATCTCTAACTATATCTCTATCTATAATCTATTACCTTATTTTTGTCTCTCTGGAGTACCCTAATATACAAACCAAAAGAAAAATTTTCAACCAAAAAATATCTAGAAGAAATACATGCAGGAAAAATTTCAATCTTATAATATCTTGTATATTCTTTGTATTATTCACTGTGTTAAAATAATTCTAGGCACTATTTTGGCACTTTTTATTATGCATCTTTCTAGTATAATTAAAAATTTTGTTTCAATTATAGTTATCATTAACTATATAATCAACTGTATTTTTGCTGCAATTGATTTCTTTTCTTCTTGCAAAGTAGATTAGTGTTATAGAGAGTACAATTCTGACATTTTTGATACAGAAATCTCCTACTCATACATAACATTATAGCATAAAATTTTCTCCATAAAATTCATTTTTGCTTTCCTCAGAGGAATGTTTTTACTGTCCCACCAGATAGGTTCTTCTTAAATAAACACAAGAAACAGTTATTACAGCAGTCTAGGTTGTATGAATGCTGACTAAATATACTTTTGTCAATGTACAAACCAGGGAACCATCCAACCTTCATACACACTACTCTAAAGATAATCCCAAAGCAATCAACTCCTGTGTCAGATAGTGATATTCAGCGTGTGCCAGTGAGTGGGCATCTTCTCTTCCAAAATGGATGAGAAAGATCTCTGCCTTGATTGGGAAAATAACCTGAAGCAGAATCTCCCCAGGCTTTTCTAAAATATGCCTTTTGTGCTAATTCCCATCTACTATTGGCATCTGTTAGCTACTGTATGTTTTGCCTCCAGAGATCTTCAAAGTCATTCTGTTACTGCCTTATTATTAGAGAAAGGCAATTTACATTCACATCTAAATAGGATAAAAATTATCAGCATTGAAAGAACTTTGTGAGTCAGTGCATTAGTGCTGATAAGTGAGGTTTGCTGGAAAGTTTTCATACACAGAGTGGATTGGCTTTCCATTGTCTTATCACCTTGCCAGTTTCCTTTCTCTGAGAGCTCTCTGAGAGTCCACATTGTGAGAAGGTTGATTAGAGATCTTAAAAGTCTAGAAATCTTAACAAGATTAAATTGTTGCAGCCATAAATTTGCTGGACATTTGTGTTGAAACAGATAAACACAGAATATTGATATTTTCAGCAAAGAAATCTACAGTGCCTATGTCCCATCAAGTTTTCCTGGGTGTTAGAGCCCAAACTTTTCAAAACCAGATTATGGGGTAATAAAAATCAAACTACAGTGAAAATTGTGATGTTAGTAGAACTTGTATATCTCTCTGTGCACTTGTGGGTGTGAATGTAGATGGGATTAAGAAAGGAGTGGGAGTTAGAGAGGTAAGGGATCCACATTTTATAATTTCCACAATTTCTAAACAACAAAGACATCAATGATGTGCTGGAATAAAATAACTTGTTTTAAAGAAATAATATGACTATAATATATATAAGTTTACTAAAATTTTATTGATACAAATGATATGCATAACACAATTTACCATTAGTACTAAAATATAATGGATTTACTATAAGTACTCAATTTTTGGTTGGAATATTTTCGTTTATTTTGAAACCTATATTTGCAGAGGAAAAGCCAGTGTAGTTTCTGATACGTATATTATTCAATATTTTCATTGACATTAATGAGAAGGATCAAAATAAAACAAGAGATGAATTTCAGAACGTCACTCATTCTTCCTTTATGTGAATATTTCTTTAGATGAATTAGGTAACAGATTCTGTTTTGCATTTCAAATCCATAGAATTGCTCTTAGAAGAACTTGGAAAGAAACTGAGACTGAATTATCTGATGTGAGAGAAATGCAGCTAAGGGTAAAATTATTAAGTATATTTTAATTTGAATACATCTTAATCTCTTCCTCTATAAGAATTTTCTGAGAACTTCTCAAGGGCAACAATTTAATTTTCAATCTACCTTTGCCCCTCCATAGACTACGAATTTTATAAAGGCCACAGGAAACCATCAGTATCTTTTTTTTTGCCAAGTAATTTTTTCTCCCTTCTTTGTTCTCTTTAGACAACTTCAATTTTTTAAAACATCTCTTTTAAATCATCCTATTCTCTCTACTTTTTGAGATGAAATTTTTTTCCATTTCTGTTTGAGGAAACAGTTTTATGATGATTAATTTTCTACTGAAGTTTTTAATGTCATTACTGTTTTCATCTATAGCTGGGATTGTTTTTCCTGTGTAATTTTTGGGTGCTGAGGACTAGAGAGGAATTCCCTGAGTAGGTTCAAGGTTGTCACTACCAAGGACCTACAAGTTTAACTGGTTTGAAACTAATTTTTCTGTTAATTTCTTAGCTTACATGTTTGTGTCACATGTGTCATATGTGAATTTAAGTTCAGAGCCAGGCTTGGTACATGTGTATAGTTCTATTTTCTCTGAATTATTTCTTCCCATTTATGGCCATGGCACTGAACTGAAGAAATTTCCTGGCTGTTTTCCTGGGCCAATGAGCAGAGCTTTCTAGTCTGTAGTTCATACATTATTAGGCAGGATAGACCACTTGGACCTGTAGAGTTTTGCTGGGGCCTAATTTATCTTCCATACTTTACACATTTCCTGAGCTCAAGTCCTTAGACCTTTAAGTTTCATATCTGGTTCTAAAAACCTCAGGAGAAATTCAGCTTCAATTTATAAATTCTTATTCTTCTTTCTCTGGCTTTGAGTTCCCTTTTCATTCTGAAAGTGTGGAATTTCCTTTATCTGCTTTCAAACTGGGCTAAGCATACCAACTTTTTATCCTAGTTTGGCCAGCAATTTTTCTGTGGCTAGAACAAGAGATGAGTCTTTATCATATTAATTCAATCTACCACAATGACTAGGTGTCTGAAGTTCCACTGTAGAAATCTATAAAGTGTGTATCTTCAGCTTGAATAATATGTTTTATTTTCTCCATTATCATCAAGGCTAAAGCATTGAGTTTCTATTCTTGTTAGTGCTAACATAAACAGATACTCTCCTTTCTTCCTGAGTTCATGCTTGGATTTGCTCTTTAGAAGATAAGATGAAAAGAGGGCTGTATAGTTATAATACCAATGTGAAAGCTATTCCCCTTCCTGCTGTGACTTACGTACTTTGTAACTACAACTTTCAAGAGGCTTTTCCCTTTCTTAAGCAGAGAATCCACAATTAGGACATATATCTCATTTGTACTTGTGAGAATATCCTGACTTTTACACTGTAGTCTAGTAGGTCAGTGTTAGAACACACAGAACACAGGCACATGTTACTTTCTGTGGTGAAATTTATTTTAAGTAGTTAATTGCTAATAATACATTGAAGATTTAAAATTACTCCTTAAAAATTACAGAAAATCTGAGGTCATGTTTATATTAATTGCACTCTTATACATATTTGAACTGTTATGGTTTTCCTGATTGGTAAATAAAAAAGAGAGTCAAAGTCTGCATATCGGGAATGTCCCATTAAGAGTGTAACTTATAGTTCAATGCCATCGTTTCATTGTTTGACAAGGGAAAAGCTGGTTGGGGATATAGACCAGCAGTTGAGCACGTGCTTAGCAGGCATAAGGCCCAGGTTTCCATCCCCAGGAGGCAGAGGAAGAGGGAGAGGGAGAGGGAGAGGGAGAAATGATGACTCATAAATTTTCAATCTTTCCATGGAATTCAAACGACACCGCCTTTTTTTTTTTTTTTTTTGGTAAACATAAGAAAAT